CACAAAAATGTGAGACAGCTAACAAGAGAGGGTGCTCATTTCGTTCCCACACGAAACACTCCCCCCACCTTTCTTATTGTCCATGTTACTTATCTTCCGCTGGTAGCAATAATACTAATCTCTGTATTGCTCTTTTCAATTTCGTAATTATCCCAGTAGCGGTCGTCGTACGTACTACAACATTGCGCACTTTACCATCAGCTCCAGCTATCGCCTCCTCTACTATTCCTGTTTTCCATTTACCTCGTTTTATTCCCTCTTCCTGTATGATCACGATATCTCCCACCTTTAGGTTTCTGTGCTCTGTATGCCATTTCCTTTTGACTATCAATGAAGTAAAATAACTTTGCGTCCACTTATTCCAAAATTGCTCAACCAAATACTGCATAAATTTTAGTCTTCTCGCATGTCCTCCTCGATCATTCCATGGTCCTCCAGGAGCTATTTTAGAGGATCTTCCAATTAATAGGTCGTTCGGACAAAGATATTTACCCTCCTCTGGTTTAGTAGGGTGTTGTCCTATTGGCCGGCTATTAAGTAAATCAGACACTTCGAAAAATAATGTCTGTAGCTCTTCATATAACAACACTTGCTCACCAATAGCGTGAAACAGCGACTTCTTAACACCCTTAATAAGTGATTCTGTGACGCCGTTTTGCCAAGGAGCATCAGGTGTACTATAAGTCCACTTGGTTCTATGCTCAAGCGCTGACTTCCTGAGCGTCTCTTCCATCGCAGCTAATTGCGAACCATGGTCAGTGAAAAGTTCCATTGGATATCCTCTTATTGAAGTAAATCTTCTAAACACCTTCTGCATGGCACCTTCACTACAGTCCACTGCTAGATCGAGGTGTATGGCTCTAGTCACCAAACAGTTAAATATTACACCATACACTTTACCTTGAGTTCTCTTCTGCACTTCGCCTTTAATCCGGAATGGTCCGAACAAGTCACATCCCACATATGTCCATGGGGGAGAAGGCTGTAATCGCTGCATTGGTAGTGGACCCATACATTGTTCCTCTGTCTTTCCTTCGAATCGTCTACATTGTACACATCTATATCTGATAGATGAAACCAGCGACTTTAGTCTCACAATCCAAAACTTTGATCTTATCTTGGCCATAGTAGTGCTCACTCCATTATGACCCTCTCTGTGGATTTTCTCTGCATATAATCTTGAGAACTGGCGATCGTTTGGTAGGAGAATCACCATATCATTGTCGTGACTGAAATGAACATGGTTTTTCACTCGGTCTCCAACCACTATCATGCCATCGTCTCGTAGTTTTGGTCCTAATGTACCGTAGACTTTGTAAAATTTGGTAGAATCCTTTTCTCTCAACTCTACCATCGGACGCTGCACTACACGTATCCAAAATGACTCAGCATCGTCTAAGTCTTTGGGAAGTAGGTTATTGTATGCAGCCCTAAAACTCTTACGTTTAAATATGCCTCTGATGATGGCAGTTACTCTCAATAACTTGTCGAAGTTACTGAACCTCGTCACATTTATTGGTGTTTCATTCATCACCCGCATATCCGCTGCCATGATGACGACGTTTCTCTCCGGCAAATCTGGCGTACGGCAAGCTTGCGATATCGGCCATTCAGTAATTGGTCCTTTCATAAATGACGGGCCTCCAAACCACTGTGAGCCCTTTAGCTCCATCGCGGTGACTCCTCTCGACACTATGTCGGCTACATTGTGTTGTCCGGCAACCCACCACCAATCCATCGGATTACTCGTTTATTGAATCTCTCCAATTCTGGTGGCCGCAAATGTCTTAAACCCATAACTCTCCTTCTGTATCATTGAGCGTACTATCTCAGAATCAACTAAGTACAGAATCCTCTCGAATCGGAGCTTACTCTCCTCCACTATCGTTTTTGCCAAGCGAGCCGATAGGACGGCGACACTCAACTCGAGCTTGACAATGCTGGCAATCCGAATCGGTGCTACTCTACTCTTAGCTGCCAAGAGCTTTGATTCAAATTTGTTGTAACCTTACGTACGCTGCTGTACCAATGGCTTCCTCGGAGGCATCTGAAAACATTACAAGAATGGGGTCGGACTCTAGAATCCCAGGTGGCTTTACACTTCGTTGAATGGTTATGTCCTCACACGCTTTCACATCTCTGAAAAAGTCAAACCAATCAGCGCAATCTTTGACATCCAATTGGTCATCCCATTCCAACTTCTTCCCCCATAGCCTTCTTAGCAAGATTTTAGCTTTAACGGTCACTGGCGACAATAATCCAAGTGGATCATAAATAGCATTTGTGGCACTCAAGCATTTTCTTTTCGTTAACTTCTCAAACTTGTCAGTTAGCTGCGTTGGTATTAGTACCTTTAATTGATCATCTCTGGGGTTCCACTTCAGCCCAAGGAATTTCGTGGTTTCATCCTCTACTCCAGAAACAATCCACTCTTTCACCACAAATTTTCCTTTAGCCAGCACGGTGTCAATTTCTTTAGCTCTCTGGTATGCTTTGTTGACGTCGGGTACATTATCGACAATATCATCCATATATACATTGTTTTCTAAAGTCATGGCTGCTTCTGGGAACTCGTTCTTGTATAGCTCAGCTGTCTTTTGTAATGCTCTGATAGCGATGGTGGCTGATGGTCCATCTCCAAAGTTTACAGCAGTAACACAGTACGTGCGAATCGGTTGGTTCACATCCATATTTCTCCATAAAAAGCGATGGGTGTGTTCGTCCAGTTCCGAGATGCCAACGCTATGATACATCTTCTTAATATCACCCACTAATGCGACATTGTCTCGTCGGAATCGCAGAAGCACTGCTAGAAGGTTATTGTTCAGATCGGGTCCCTTCCCCCAATACTCATTAGGTATGTGGCCATGATAACTTGCGCTACTATTAAAAACAATTCTCAAGGGAGTGCTCTTGCTATCTGGTTTGGGAACACCATGATGCGCAATGTAGTGCACGGGACCTTTATACCTTCTCATTTCATCTTCATTCACCATTCTAGCTACCTCTCTTTTCACCATGTCATCGATTTGGGATGTATAACATATAGCGCCAGTTGAATCTTTGAGCAGCTTTTTCTCTAGAGCTTTTAGCTTGACTTCTGCTACAGGTCTGTTATCTGGCAATTGGTGTGGGTCTTTGATCCATGGGTAGCGTGCATGCCACCTACCATCCTCGTGCGTTAACCCTTCGTCAATTAAGTTTAGTTCCCTTTCTTCTCTTAAGGTGCCACATTTACAGCCTCCACACATTGGACTGCATCTAACACCAATGCTCTCGATATCTAAAAAGTCAAAATCAGGTTGTTGTTTAATCTGCGTTAAGTTGATTGAGTTTGATTCACTTCTGCACATGGAGTGTTTTCCGAAGATCATCTTGCCGAATGGCCCTTCACACAAAGCAAGCTCATCTACAGCCTTTAGAACACCCGGGAACAGATTTGCATTATCAGCCCCAATGAGTAATTCTACTGCCCCAGTAGGTCGTTCTACTTGACGTTTGTCAACTCCCAACATACTTGCCATTCTTGCAGTGCGGTGTGCGGCATACCAAATACCTCTATTTTAATGTCTGCTTCTCTCGTCTTCAATGGTAGGATATAACTGTACGTGTCGATACACTCGGTCTCACCACTAAACTTAGTGATAGAAATTGTTAGCGGCTTCCTTTTTAATTTTAGTCTTTCAGCCACCTCGGATAGGATGGCGGAGGATGTACAAGCAGAATCGAACATGGCGGTGATCCCTTCTCCTCTGCACGTTTGTAACTCTTTGGCCATCAAAATACATGGAGAATGCGTAATAGAACTATTCTGTTGTGCTGCATTCGCCATTCTGCCACTCCCCGATGAGTTTGGAATTGTCGTAGGGTTGCTTTGTTGCGTCGCAATAACAACTTCTCCATTTCTCGGTGCGTAATGTATCAATGGGTGATGTTTCCTAGTACAACCCTCTTTACCGCAACGTCCCAACTTACAGAATTTCACTTGATGTCCTATTTTTAGACATCTGAAGCAGGCTCTTTTTTGTTTCATTAGTTCGATTCTGTCATAAACGGTCATAGACTTGAACATTCTAGAATCCTGCGTTGTGTGTTTACCATCCTCATGTATCAAGCAGCTTTCGTCCGGAATTTTCCCTGTCGACACAAAATTGACTGTGCTGCTGTGGACCTTTGGTCTTGGTGCAGCCCATTGCAAGCCTGACATCATGTATCTCAGACTCTTACTCTTCTCTTCCAGAAAGTCTAAGAGAGTTTTTAGTTTCCCGTCTTTCTCCATTTTATCCTTTCCTTGTGGTTCATGGATCAGCCTGACCCACCTTCTCCTCTGTTCTTCCGGTAATCTACTCTCGATTTCGGAGATAACTTGGGCGTTGTTCATTTCGTGCTCGATGGCCATCCGCTTTAGGTTGCGGTGGCAAGCCGGAATTAGTTCGATGAATTGAATTATTTGGCTATCCTCTCCCTCTTTCAACGGCTTCTGCTTTAAGATATCTCCAATGAGAGCATTTACCAACTTGTGTCTGTCGCCATACTTCTCGTCTAACAAAGTCCACATTTGCTCATAGTCGTCCTCTGCTGCCTGCACTACTTTGTTAACCTCATTTCCTAAGCAGGATCTGAGTCTAAATGACAATTGTTCTGGATGAGTTGCCTTCTCTACGAACTTCTTGGAGTCCGTCTTAAATCTCGTGTATGTTTTAATATCTCCAGTGAACTTCGGTAGCTCCATTTTCTTTAATTCTATTTTATGCAATTCAGATTTTTTCGTACTTCCTTCTTGGTCGTCCTGAGACTCCTTTGCTGAAAGAAGTAACCGGATACCACTATGGAGTTCTCTACGTTGTTGCATGCACTTATCCTCATCTTCTTCTTTATCCTGGTCTGTCAGGTCTAATATTTTCTCATGTATCACTTTCAAATTTTTGAAAGTTTCCTCAAACTCTTTATATAGATCCTTCAACAACTCTGGCGGGTGGTCTGCTTGGATCGATGTTTTCAACTCCTCTGCCTTAGCTTTGAAGCTTCGGTCGTCTCTCCTCCTTTGCCTCTGCGCATCATCCATCTCGGTGTTTCAGTGTTCGAATGTTTCGGTATTCAAGCTGACAAAAACTCAAAAGCTGTTATGTTTGATCTGAAAGTTTATTGTGTCCCAACAAGTCGTTCGAACCTATCGAATACAAAATACAAGAAACTACATAACTCAAGATGCTCAAACTTTTTAACGCGATAATACAGACTAGCGTAATTATAATTAAATAATTCTCAATACTTTTAACTCATATAATCAGTACTTAAACTCACACTTTTTGACATCCAAGATTCAAATTACAGCTCAACTCAACTCGGTATACTCTACTCAGATGACAGCCTGAATGTCGAAATGTCAATTAACCGGTTGAACTGCTCAATACTCATAGAACAACCGTGTTAACTTTCTCAAATAACTAAATTACACTACAGAATTCTCGAACGCTTCTCTCTCTACGAAAAATAATTTGCTGTCTTATCGGAGCGCGAAAAGAAAACCACAAAAATGTGAGACAGCTAACAAGAGAGGGTGCTCATTTCGTTCCCACACGAAACAATGTAGGCTTAATGTCCCCACTCAATTTGGGTCAAAACACGGTCAATCAATCAATCAATCAATCAATCAATCAATCAATCAAACAACCAATCAATCAATCAATCAATTATTGGATCCACTTTGATACAGTAGCACTCATACAAAATGCATGGTGCATACATAAGTAAAGAAACATACATAAATAAAATAGGCCTGCATTAATTTACTAGCTATTGGTTCGGTTTCGCAGTAAATTTAGACGAGCGACGATCATCTGATAACCAAAAATACTAGTCTGGCGCCCCCTAGAGTTTTGATGTTTTTGTTGACGCAGTAACAACTGCACAATACTTACATGATACTGTATAGTAATTCCGTTACATTGTCGGCTGTACCATGTAATTGATAACAAAATATTCTATGTTATTCTAGTTAAACACTTTTTGAGTTTTTAATTCAAAAAATAAAATATCATATACAAAACAAATTGTTATTCTAAAC